GAGTCCTACTCTCCGTTGAGGGGGCTGCGGGCGACCCAGCGAAGGTCAGCCCTAGAGGGTACCACGAAGGTCACTCTAGCCGGAGTCTTTTCCAACTCATTTTCCTCCTTCCACTAGTTGATTCTGAGGCGGCGGAATCGACCGTTACAAACTTTTCGAGGCACACCACAATCTCTCGGGTGCTCTCCGGCGACGCCTAACCATCTAGGACCGAAGAGTCCAAGAGTAACAAATGCAAATCACAAGATCGACAATATGCACAAGTGCTCAAGTGGTGGCTTGCTCTCTTTTTCAAATTCTCTCTTAACCCACAAATTGATTTTGTAATTTGGATCACACACTCACTAAGAGAGGGTTCATGAGAGTTGGCAAGGCTAAAAAACGTGTGTCTATCTCAGCAGAATCAGCAGCCTCCAAAGGTGGAGGCTTGGGGGTATTTATAGCCCCCTTGAAAAACTAGCCGTTTTATAGCCGTTGCAATACCGGATACGTCCGGTATGCATCCCGGACACGTCCGGTATGACTTACACTGCCCCAACGGTAACTAAGTTACAGTGAAGTTGTGAGGCGTTGGAACTCCCGATGAATGCTGGAACTCCCGACCGCCGGAACTCCCGACTTACGTCGGAACTCCCGACCCTCAGCAAATTTGAAAACCATGTAACTGAGTTAAAGAATATGAGGTGTCGGAACTCCCGACACATGCCGGAACTTCCGACCATCGGAACTCCCGACCCTTAAGGCTTTGGAAAACTAGCCGTTGGCCTCTGGTCATGCGGTATGAATACCGGACACGTCCGATATGACCAGGACAGTGATCCCTCCAAGTCAGTTAAAGTGCGAGACGTCAGAACTCCCGACCCTTGCCGGAACTCCCGACCGTCGGAACTCCCGACCTACGTCGGAACTCCCGACGAACCAACCCGAGAACAACATTTTTACAGTTACTGGGCAAATACCGAACACGTCCGGTATGCATACCGGACACGTCCAGTAAGGCCAGACTAGCAACAAGTCAATTAGCCTTTTTTGTCTCTCAAACACTCAAATCTCACATGGGTTGGCTTGAGCACTCATGAAACATTATCTATCAACATGATGCATCCCTCTTAATAGTACGGCATACCTATTAAACTCAAGATCAAAGGAAAAATGGATTTATACCACTTGAGTTGATCTCTTTTGAATTGATGCCGTCTCTTTCAATCTTCATCAAGTAAGGGTGCTAACATATTGATATTGATCTTTTCACTTGAGCATAGCCATCTTGAGCACGTGACTTGATTCCATTCATCAAATTTGAATAATCCCAAATGTATCAAGTCACTTCCATCAAACAATCCAATAGTGATTTGATCCTCCACATGAACATGGCCATCATAGCTTGATTAGTACCTCAACTAAATGCAAGTACTTTCTTCTTCACCCTAGCTAGGTTCTTCGGGCCGCCAAGTCGTCGCTTGCCCTTCGCCCTTGCTTAGTACCTCGAAGCCTTTCCTTGCTATCTTCACCATCTCAAGCCATCAAGTCACTTCTTGTGTTGAATCATCCATTCATTTGTATTGTTATCTTTTTCATTTCAATTTAGCAAGCTTCAAGTATGAGACCATTCCATATGCAATTTCTCATGTCTCATTAATTAATTCTCACGAGCTTGCTTTCACATAGCAAATGGAAATCCCACAATAAATGAGTCTTTGCATGAATAACATTTGCATTGTTGTCTTGTGCTTGAACTAGATTGTTTATACAATAACACATTATTTTGGCTTTCATTAAGTACTCATGAGATAACCTATAACCTGTCCACACTTAGCAAACGGGTTAGACCTTTAATCACGTTGTCATTCAAGCATCCAAAACTCACTAAAGGGCTAGATGCACTTTTAGGCGCCAAGACGGCGTACCCTCGTCCTGCTGCACTTGGAGGAACCACATCTGGGCGCCGTCTTCAAGGTTGTATGACGCCATCCAAACTTGCTCCTCGGCTGCAATACGCTGTTGATGAAAATACGACTCACATCGGTTAAGGAAGGCCAGCGGATCGGATTTCCCGTCGAACTTGGGGAAGTCTAGCTTCTGGAACCGAGGTGGGCGGTCCCCATGGTGGTCACCATGGCCCGAGCCTCACGATCCTGAGCCGAAGAACGTCAGTGGCTGCGCTTGCTGAAGAGAGGCGACCTGCTGTTGAAGGTCGCTGATGGTGGCGTTCATGGTGGTGGTGAGGGCCTGGATCATCTTGGCCAGGTCGGTGGTGGACGGCTCAGCCATTGGCAAGGAAGTGGAGGCTGCTGAGGCGTTGGGTGAAGCAGGGGTTGATGGTGCGGTGGCTGCAGGGTTGGAGTGCGGGGCAGAGGTGGAAGAAGATCGCCGGCTAGCTGATACCAAGTTGTCAAGGACCTGGGCGCCTAAAGTTGGAGGCCCCTGACTTCTCAGCTCATAACTCGAACCAGGTAATGGAGGTGCCAGGATTTTTGCCTGACTACCTCAGCAGGAGGTGAGATTAAGAATAGCAGAGAAAGGGGAAGATTAGGGAATAACTTTTTTTTACTTCCTTCAACGAGTACAAGGGTACATATAGGAGCTCTGCTCCATTGGTACTTGCACCAGCCATTAACTGCTAACTGGCTAATTAATTCCTTAATCTCTTCAACTTCTACTTAATTGCCTTAGAGACTGCAGCCCCTCCAGCCGCCTAAACCTCCTTGGGTTCTTTCAGGCCATGCGTCCCCTTGGGGACTGCCCTGGCTGCACCTCGTGTTCGAGGCCAGCGGTTGTACTGTCGGCCCCACATGACACGGTATCATGTTATGTAGGATGAAAAATATATAACAAAATATATAGCATCATCTTTCAAGATATACTGGAAAAACTTTGCCAGGAATCAAGCATTTCAAGACTTGAATCACTGGTGCTGTATGCTATTGATAAAAAAGGGTTGTCCACATTATTCACATACTAGCTTATTGACTATAAAAGCTAAGTAGCTAACAATCACCTCCAGTGGCGTTCCACAAGCAATAAGCTTAATTCCAGTATCACGACAGTAATTCAGAAGAGGTTCATACTGCTGCCATAGCTCCTACGGCCAGTGCGATGTGTATAACTTTAAGATTTTTCCATCAATCCTAAATAAAAGCATAAGCTTGTCAATATTTGTTGAAAGGAGTCAAGTTCTTACTTAAAATACATTTTCCCTTATAGAATATAATTGTTCGCCAACATCCAATTAGCTTCAACTAACCATGAGCTGCAAAGAATACTACCCCTTTTTCATGATACAAGACCACACTATTAATGAGGCAGAAAACATACAATTTATGCTTGTTACAATAAGTGTTGGACGGCTGAAAGACTCGCGAGGAGATGACTTCCACATCCCAGTCACTGTCCATTTTGCGATCAGGAGGAGGAGAACATCCAACATCTCCTGACCACCTTGTGTGTTGGCACAGGATTTTCGGTACCGAAATCTATCCGCGTTGGGACTACATGATCGAGCACCCAGCTCTCATGAAATTTCCTTCGCTGATTGGTGGCGCAAAGCTACTAAGAAAATGCCGAAGGAAAAGAAGAAGGGGCTAAACACGGTCATTATCCTGGGGGCATGGATCCTTTGGAAGCATCGCAATGCTTGTGTCTTCGATGGAGCTCCACTGAGGATTTCTTGCCTCATGCAGGCTTTCAAAGATGAGGAGGAGCTGTGGTGTCTCGTGGGTGCACGAGGCCTACGGACTCTCGATCTAGGTCACGGCTGGGGCTAGTTAATTCTAGTTTGTGAGGGTTTTTGGTCAGGCCTCATCCTTCGGGGGTTTTTTCAGTGCAATCTATTTTGTTTCATTCAACCCCTCATGGCTCAGCCCGGAGTGAGGTGGTGGTGTTCATGTAAGGGGCCGATCATTTTTCCTCTCTATAATACAAAGATGCGCAGCTCTCCTGCGCATTCGAGAAAAAAAATAATGGTCAATGCTATCAATGTGGGTGATTACAGATCCATCAGTTTGGTTCATAGTTTTGCGAAACTGGTGGCCAAGATTTTGGCTAACAGCCCCATCTCAACTCTCTGATCTCATCCAATCAAAATGCTTTCATCCGTGGGAGGTGTATAAGTGTATTCATGATAATTATATGATGGTTCAGCAAACTATCAAGTTGTTACACCGGAGAAAGGTTCCTAGCCTCTTCCTAAAGTTGGATATTTCAAAAGCATTTGATTCATTTTCACGGTATTTCTTGTTGGAATTGTTTCATTATTTGGGCTTCGGTTGGATCTGGTGTAACTTTATTTCAAATCTCCTCATAACCTCATCAGCAAGAATTGTTTTGAATGGTGAACCTGGTAAATCCATTAATCGTCAGCAGGGGCTTAGGCAAGGCAACCCATTATCGCCGATGCTTTTCATATTAGCTATGGATGTGCTTAATGGTTTATTTGTCAACGCCGGTGAGGAGGGTTTTCTCCAACCCTTATCTAACCATTGTACTAGAGATTTGGAGAACGGGTCTCTTTATATGCAGACGGTGTTGCCATATTCATACAGCTAGTGAAAGAGGAATTACAAATCACCAAAATGGTTCTTGATTGCTTTGGGGAAGCTTCAGGTATACACCATTCTGCTGGAGATTTGGAGAACGGGTCTCTTTATATGCAGACGGTGTTGCCATATTCATACAGCCAGTGAAAGAGGAATTACAAATCACCAAAATGGTTCTTGATTGCTTTGGGGAAGCTTCGGGTCTACACACTACTAATTTGCAGAAAAGCCTTGTGATCCCTATCAGGTGTGATGAAGGTGGCTTGGAAGTGGTAGGAGATACTACTTCACATTACCCTACTTCTGAATTTTCTTGTAGCTATTTGGGGTTTCCAATTTCGAATAAAAATTTCAGGAAAAGTGACTTAATGCCCATAGAAAACTAGAAAATATTGTAGACCACCTCCCTGGTTGGAAGGACTACTGCCAAATAAAGTAACCCGCAGAAGGAGAAGAGCACCGGACCTGCCGTCCATGAACTGGTCGAGCTACTGCTGTACGTAGCAGGGGAACGCCTCGAGCGCGAGCGCCAGGCCCCTCCCAGCGTCGGCGTAGCGGCCCGCGAAGCCCCTGACGTTCTCGAGCTCGACCACGCGGTCGTTGGGGTCGGGCTAGAGCTCGGCCTCGCCGAGGTACACCACCCTCGCGGCCGCTAGCTTCTCCCACACCCGCCCCGCGTGTCCCCTGCCAACGCCTCCGGCTCCCTGAGGACCGTCGCGTCGTACACCCTCGACATGGCCGATCGCTGGGCTCAGGCTTCGTCTCTGCCTCCGCCTCCACCGCCGCCTCCACGGCGGGCTGCGGGGAGAGGGGCTCTTCGGTGGGCGATGGATGTGGAGCCAGGGTTTCGGCGTCATCGGCCTCGGTGGCGGCGGAGGGGAGCGGGCGGAGGACGACGGATGCAGCGGCGAGCGAGGGAACGAAGAGGAGGAAGCCGCGGCGGGAGGCGGACACGCTGCGGCGGGTTGAGGCGGCGGTGGCCGTGGGGTGTTTGGCGCCGAGGAGGGAGCCGGCAGAGGAGGGGCACAGTTTGAAGGCGGCGGCGGGACTTTGAGACGGCGCGTGGGACAGCATTACTGGCGAGAAAATGGCAATTTTGCCCTCACGGCTAGTGGGCTGCCAGAATGCCCTTAAGTTTGTGGGCTTCATCATAATACTCTTATAAAAAGATGTGTTTTATGTTATTTTGTTATTTCATATTTTTTCCAAATTTGTAAATTTCTGACCCTATCTTTTTGACCACGCGTGACCGTTTTACCCCTGTCTCCTTCTACCTTATCCTCTTGTTCCGCTTCTCACGGTCACGGCAATTTCTCCTTTCTCTCCCGTTCTCTCTCTGTCTCGACCGATGTTCGGCGGAGGAGCCAGACGCCGCCGCCACCATGCGCCGCCGTCCGCGCCGAGCCGCGCCGACCCGGCCAGTGCAAAGCGTCACCAGGCGTCTGCAGCGCCTCCTCGCAAGACGCCCTAGACCAACCTCGCATTTGTCTGCTGCGCCGTCGTCGGCCGGTGGTCAGGTAAGGTCATCCCAGCGAAGGCTCCCGTAGTCCAAGACGCACGCCCGCCTCTGAAGCCTGAGCCGCGGCAACATCCTCCCCCAGAACTAAGGTGAGGCTTCAAGGCGCCCATATTCAGGATTGATTTGTGGATTCAATGGGTATAGTGTTAATTTAGGGTTTTACAGGAGTAAGAAACCATTATTCTCTTATGTGCTTGTGCTATGGATTGCAATTGGAGTGATATAGTTATCAGGTATGCATCATTATTTACTCTTTGTTGTACAAATATATCTTACTATGACTAGTTGTATGGTATGCGTGTAGTGTTCTAACTCTATAATGGGTGTTTTTTTAGGCTCGATGCGGAGCCTGAGCTTAGTTTAGTGCCTGTAGATGGTGGCATTCTAGAACAGCCACAGGGACATATCGTTAATTGGGATGAATTACGAATTGAGGAAAGGCAAGATGATAAAGGGGAAGGAAGGTTAGAAATTTTCGATGAGGATGAGTTGTATCGTTTGCTGGGCCTGAGGACCGAGAATGATCATGGCCAGGGTGCTGCTGATGCTACTTCAAATGATGATCAGGCTACCGCAAACAATGGTAGTACAGTCCTTGATGTTGACACTAGAGGTGCAGCTATCCCTGTTGATGATGCAATACCGGAGGAGAGGGTGATGGTGTATGACCCTAACAAACCATGCATGGATATTGGCACTGTGTATCCCAACATGGTTGAGTTTAGATTGGCGGTGAGGCAGTTTGTCATTAATAAAGAGTTTGCACTACACACTATGAAAACAGACACAGAGAGGTTTATTGGGAAGTGCATGGCACCATATTGCCCTTGGCATATTAATGATCGAAAACAACGTCATTCAAAAACTATTATGGTATACAGAAATTTTTTTGTTATATGAATATGACTTCTTTTTTTGAGTTATGGCAATATTCTAATTTATGTAATAATGCAGGTTACAGCTCTGATTGCTCAACATAATTGTTCATCCAGTGCGAGGAGACTTACTACTATACCCACTGCTGCCTGGGTTGCTTCAAGGGGTATCAAGCACCTCAGGAAGGGCCCAAATATGGGCCCAAAAGAATTGAAGAAGCAGCTGCAAGACGACCACAAATGTGAAATTCACTATGACACCGTTTGTACGGGGAGACAGATTGCAATGAAAGAGTTGTTTGGCATCTAGGAGGAAAGCTTCCAAATGCTCTACAATTGGAGGGCAGAGGTTCTGAAACACTCACCAAACAATGTCATTGAGATTGACATCAAGATGGTTGATGGCAAGGTACACTTTCACAGGTTCTTTTGTGCTTTAAGTCCTTATATTGAGGGTTTTCTAGAGGGATGCAGGCCTTACCTTAGTATAGACTCCACTACATTGAATGGTAGATGGTGTGGACACTTAGCAGCAGCCACTTCTCTAGATGGACACAATTAGATGTATCGTGTTGCATTTGGCTTCATAGATGGTGAGACAACGGGAAATTGGGAATGGTTTATGACTCAGTTGCATAAGGCCATAGGAGACCTACCTGTTCTTGCTATTTGCACTGATGCATGCAAAGGTCTAGAGAAAGCTATTAAAAATGTGTTTCCTCATGCTAAACATAGAGAGTGTTTTAGGCATCTTATGCAGAATTTCATTAAGAAGTTTGGGGGTGATGTTTTTTCGAAGATGTATCCTGTAGCTCGAGCATATAGAGTTGAAGTATTTCAATATTTCTTCAAATTTGTTAGAGAGGCTAGCGATCAAGTGATGGAATAGCTCGACAATCATCATAAATTGTTGTGGATGAGAAGTGCATTTAACCCTGAAATCAAGTGTGATTATATAATCAACAAACCTTATTGAATGTTTTAATAATTGGATCAAGGACTAGAAGGACCTTCCTGTAGTTGAGCTTGCTGATAAAATTAGGAAGATGCTAATGGTATTATGGAGGAAGAGAAGACAGATTGGACAAAAGCTTAATGGGAAAATTTTACCTACAGTCATACGTCAACTGAAAATGGGAACCAGAGGCTTGGGTCACTTGACAGTTATCACCTCTGATAGTGTTGCTGCAGAGATATGGGAAATTAATAGCATCCACAACAGGCATGTAGTGAAGACTTATCTCCGTGAGTGCACATGTCTTGAGTGGCAACACACTGGTAAGCCATGTCAGCATGCTTTGGCTTTGATTACAGGCCAACAAATTGTGGATGTGGATCTTGAGGAATTTGTCCATAAATACTATTCAGTGGAAAAATTCAGGAATGCCTATAAGAGATTAATAGAGCCACTCCCAGATAAAACTCAGTGGCCACATGTGCCGCTTCCATTTACCGTTAGGGCACCATTGGACAAAAAGGGTGTTGGAAGGTATAGGAAGCTGTGGATAAAAGGATGTTTTGAAGGAGAAAATGGTGGCAAAGGAAAAAAGGCAAATGAGGTGATAAAAAGTCTTGAAGAGGAGGCTATGCAAGTCGCTAAACCTAAAAGGCAATTGGTAAGAGGAAAATGATATGCAAGGAGTGTGGAGAATTGGGTCATGGAGAAACAAGCTATAAGTGCCACTTTGAATGGGACAAAAAGAAAAGGTAATGATTTTTTTAGTTTTTTTAACTTACATCTACTAAATGGGACAAACAAGCTACAAGTGCCTAAATTATTCTAACTTGCAGGAAAAGGAAGCCTAGGACAAATACAACCAAGTATGGGAAGAATGATAACAAAAAAACTAAAAAAAGCTGCTGAAAATACTCCTGTCCAGTCTGAAAATGTTGCTGTCCATGCTAAAAATGCTGTTGTCCAGCCAGAAAATGTTGCTGAAAGTACTCCTGTACAGGCTCAAAACGTTGTCTTCCATGCTAAAAATACTCATGTATATGCTGAAAATGTTGCCACAGCTAAGGCCAATATTTTGTCAACAAGTCCAGAAAGGTTGACTAGAAGGTACTACGATTCGTTCATGAACCCATTATAATTCTTTCATAAAAATGCTGCCGCCCATTACAATTCTCATGTTGCAACCGACTTGTTGTACTACTTGGAGAAGGGCCTGGCGCAGACAGGCGGCGGCGGCCGGCGTCGGGCTCCCGCCCGAACACCGGTCGAGACGGAGAGAGAACGGGAGAGAAAGGAGAAATTGTCGTGACCGTGATAAGCAGAGCAAGAGGATAAGGTAAAAGGAGACAAGGGTAAAACAGTCACGACTAGTCAAAAAATGGGGTCAAAAATTTATAAAATTGAAAAAAATACGAAATGATAAAATAGCGTGAAACACACCTTTCATAAGGACATTCTGACGAAGCCCATAAACTTAAGAGCATTCTAGCGAAGCCCACTCCCATAAGAGCAAAATTCCCATTTACAGCATTGCTGGCGGTCTGCTTGGAGCTGTGCTTGATCGCGAGAGCCGAGAACTTCAAATCGATGTCGTGGTCTCTTGGATAAACTGCGAATCGATTCACAGGGAGGAACGACACTAGAGAAACAAGCAAATTCGTAAGGTAAGGTTTCATGTCCGAGCGATCTCATCATTTTCAACGCCAATTCTTGACAGGTGGTAGTACTCCATGCAGACTGCGAAGGATGTGTGGATTACTGTTCGGTTGACTGATTTGTATCGTTGCTGGTTTGTAAAATAGTACTGCTGATTTGTATCGTTGCTGGTTTGTAAAATAGTACTGCTGATTTGTATCGTTGCTGGTTTGTAAAATAGTACTGCTGGCTGATTTTGTGTGAGAGAAAAATACTATTCCAGCTAAAAATTTACGATCGTATACAACAAGCCACAGCCAAACGAACAGGCTGAAGAAAAGACGACAGCCACAAGCTCTGCTGGACTGCCCTGTCAGCATCCACCATCCAGCAATGTGTGAAAAGACTGAAACAATGAAACCTGAAAAGCTGCTTCGTTCTCCATTTGCACTATGCCAAGATACACAACAGGATAAGTACTCCATGTGACGTGATAATAGGTCATGGACATTAACTGTTAGTTATCACCGAGAAAAATCTTGCGTATGGTTCTCACACATGCCAGTTCTCGAGGAGCAAAGAAGCTCATCTGCCGGGACCCAATTTCACACGACTGCACATAACTCATGTGGCATTACATCCAACCCAATGCGGCAAAACTGGGGAAGAATAAAGAATGGTTGTGTCGCTGGATGTTGGAGCAAATTAAATTGATCAAAATCAACTACTCTACACTCCCTATACGTAAATCAGTTGCTCCTGTTTGCATATACTTCTGTTTCCTCTGTTACCTTTGTCCACATATTAGCAAAATGATCTGAATAAGACACCTGCATAAACAATTGAAGAGGATAACATTATGTACCACGATTCTTTCCCTTTTGTCAGCAAATGTACAATGTAAATATTCGCTTTCTTTGCTGGACACGTAACACTCTTACCTGAGTTACCACAAAACCTTTCAGCATCTCGATGAAATCCTGGCGTCTTTCCTTGTCAAATCTTTTTATTTCAATCTTGTTGTTTTCCTGCATTGTTAAAGGCAATAAGGTTTCAAATTTCAGTAACAGCCATAGTGGCACCTACCATCCCTAGAGCATTATAACTTTCTACACAAACACTGAACTCTTCACAAATATGACTTGATGATATATCAGAGTTTGCTGTAACTATATGACTTGATGAAACATCCTACTGTTCTCAGAATCAGTCAAATAACCTCATAACATATACTCAAGCTAAGAGAGGGGGGGAAGCTCAATACCACTCCATTTGGATACAGCATCCCTAGGCACCCTTCTAGTTTCTAGGCTTTCGTAAAATATAACTGCAAAATTAAAAAGAAAACTGGAAGGCCTATAGCATTGTTCCGTTGTCGTTGATACCCATACCCATTACCCAAATCCACACCTGGTAGTATGGGCCAGGGATGGGGAAAAAAATCTTTGCCCATTGAGATAAGGGGCAGACCCATAAGAATAAGGTTGTGGGGAGGGATCCCCATCTCTGGTCATTGTCCTGTCTCCTTGGACACTCGACGTTCTGGGCGAGCCCTCACCCATCTCTGCTGCCTCTTCCAAGATTGCCAGTCTCCATAACCTCACCCTCCATGTGTGCACTGATGCTGGCACACAAGGCCCCACGCTCCCACCACAGCACACAGACCTCACACAAGGAAGCCTCTCCATGTGTGATTCTCATGGAACCCAGGTTCTAATCTTCTAGGGAATCAGATGATGAGAATTAACCAATGAGGTGTGTGAGAACAAACAACTGGTGACAGCAAGGAGCACTAGAGCAAGAAACAATTGACGAGTTCATGGATACCCAGCAGCCACATCTCCTACATTACTTCTTGCCTTCTTGGATTTGGTATTGATCTGTCAGACTGAGATTCAAGGTTTCTTCAGGGTTTCTTTTCCCCTAAGGGGATGTCTGCCTGTTCCTATCTGTTTTTTTTTTTCAAATAGAATTTTGCCTCATGGTGTCTGTTCTTCTAATCCCTATTGATCTGTGCATATAAATTTAATCATAAGAACAACATTTAATCATGTCATACTGATTTTGCTAGATGTGCTAATTTGATGTCAAGAGTAAAGCATGGCTCAACTTGCAACACTAAAAATTAAGAGGTGCACGTTTCTTTTTCGGCACCTAAAACCATGAGGTGTATGTTTAGGTAATTTTCCTAGGTAAGTTCATGCTCCTTAAGTTTTTTTGATGGAAAATATTATTATTCACATTTTTTCAGGCAACTTACCTTAATGCTTTCATATTCTCTAACTGCATCACTTTTGGCTGCTTCCACTGATCTTATTGTTTCTTTCAACCCCTCTACTTTCTGATATGTTGACCACTCATGCCCCATATCTCTTGCTGATGAAGATTCAAGTCTCCCTGCCCTGGTGTGCAAGGAAAACAAATCTGCTGACAGACTTTGTACGTAATGTAAAGCATTAGAGCGATCTGTAAATGCATGATGAACTGATATCATCATCTCCAAGTGTTCATGGATACTACCCTGCAAAGCCATAAACAATGTTAGTGAGTCAGATAATTCCAGTAAAAGATACACTTTCCCAGTATTGAGTCCACAATATATCAACATACCAGGTGTTTCACAATTTCAGAGTTTAATTTTATCTGTGACCTGCTCATCTTCAAAACAGAATTTGCAAAATTATGGATTTCACCAGACCGTCTTCTTAGGGAATTACATGTTGCCTGCTCTCTTTCAAATTTTGCCAGCTTAATCAATGTCATTCCCAAGTGACCTGTGGTTTCTCTAAGATCATCTTGGGCTTTAACAAGCGCTTCCGCCTGCATATAAATAAAATACAAAGTTAAAGGATTGGCCATAGCAATTTTGTATTATGTCTGTAAAAGGGGAAGCATCTTGAGGGCCTGAGGGCCAATACATGCAACTGAGCTATTTCACAAGATCAGTTGACCAATACCTGCTGCGATGTTGTGGTGAGGTGCTGCTGTAAGTCCTCAAACCTAGCCTTGTGCGCCAGGAACTCCGTGTCTGTCTCCTTTTCCACAGGTGGAGGCTTTGTTGCAACCAGTCCATTCACCACCGTCTGCTTGAGACCCTTAAACATCCCAAACAAGTCCCTCCCAGCTTTCGTCGGCACCAGTGGAGCAGCAGCATTCACAGTGGTAGTCCAGTACCGTGGGGCCTCACCCTGAAAGGCGGGGATGGCACCAGGCTCCGTGAGGAACGTGCGGAGATCAGGGCTCTGGCCGACGATGGGGTGCGCCGCAAGGCGGCAGAGGTAGCGCTGGAGCGCAGCGCAGCGCTGGCTCACGAAGTCGTGGCGCTGTATGACCTGCCCCTCGAGAACGCTCTTGTCAGGCCGGGCCGGGACGAAGAGGCCGCGGTGGGCTGCGGCAAGGCGGTCCGCTAGGGCCACCACGTCGCGGAAGCGCCGCCGCACGCGGACCTCCCCGCCGCCGCCAGCAAGACGGGTGGTGATGAGGTAAGAGAAGTAGCTGCCGGACCCCGGGATCACACCGGCGGCACCCGCGCCGCTGGGCTCCGCGTGCTTCTTGGGATCGGATACGGTGATTTTGGCGAACACCGGGGACGACGCATCGCCGCGCGCTGCGCGCGGCGGGCGGGCGACGCTGGGCGACGGGGCGGTGGAGAAGTCGTCCTCGTCGAGGAAGTCGTCGATGACGAAGGGGTCGTCGCTCGCGGCGGTGGTAGGGGAGGTAGGTGGCCGGAGGAGGGGGTCGGTGGAGGCGGAGGCGGTAGCGGCGGCAGACGACGAGGATGAGTCGAGGGCGAGGGTTTCGAGGTCGTCAGCGGCGGTGGAGGGAACCGACGGCAAGGGCTCCGCTGCCATCATCGCTGGTAGAGAAGGGTGGGTATGGTTTAGGCTTGGCCGCTTGCGATTGAGTGGGATCTGACTAGGGGAGGCCGCGAACAATCGATCGGTCGACTATGGGCGGAAGGAAGGAGGAGGCGGCGACGAGGTGGATGGTGTCGCGTCACTCGCGTGTCCCCGCCGCGGTTATTATTCGTAAGACTGACTCCAAGGTGAGGCAAGCCTGACACCTATTTTACAGTATAGGTAATGCACAGTTAAAAAGTCGAATACCCATAACTCGACCTCTCAAACAGAGCAGCAAGCCCCAAATGGGAGGTGGCCACGCCGAGGTGGAGGAGACTGTCACGCCGGGGAGTCTCGCGGTGGCGGGGAGGCAGGACGCCACGCCGGGGCGGGCTCGGCGCGCCAGGGCTAGGTGGCCGCTCTAGGGCCAGCTCGCCTAGCCGGCCAGGGTGAGCGGTGGTGGGGCCTAGATCCGCGCACCCCCGCCTCCTCCTCACTGCCGGGCCGCGGGGGCATCGCGGCGGGTGGTGGTGGTGCCATTGGCCAAAGGTGGAGGCGCATGAGGCATGCCAGGGGCAGGCTGCCGGGCCAGCGAGCAACGCGCCCGTGCTCGATCTGTCTTGGAGGAGGGAGATGGCGGAGGTGAGGAGGATGGCGTGGCCGAGGTGGAGGCGGCAGCGTGGCGTGGGCGAGGCTCGTTCGCGTCGGAGCAAGCTTGCCAGCATGGCCGGGGAGAGGTGGGCCTTGACAAGACGGGCGGGGCTCGCCCGCCGAGGAAGCTCGCCGCTTCGCTCCGCTCAGGAGGTGGGCGTGGGCCATGAGGTAGGGGCGCTCCCAGACGCTGGCGAGCCTTGCTCCCAGACGAAGCCGGGCGCTCCTGCCCTCGAGCCTGCCTCGCCCGCCCGATCAAGCGCTCACATGGGATCCGCCTCGGCCGAGTCGAGCCGGTCGCGCCTGCCTCGGCGGCTCCTCTGCGGGTCCACCACTACAGTTTCGTCGGCTCTCTTGAGGGCGCAAAATTGCCTTCCCACTCGCCGAGGACCCGAATGGGTAGTCGGTTTTCGGTCTTCCGTTGGAGGAGTGTTTTGGGGACCCCAAACACTGTGCATGACGCATTTTTGCGTTTAGGTCACGCCGTTGGAGACAGTCTAAGTAAGGGGGACACCGTTTTGAGAGGTGGGGCCTCGAGTTAAATAGTACTACCTCGTCGCAGGTTAAAAATAATTTAAGTTTGATTGAATTTAAAAAAAATATAATAGTATAAATATATATTATAAAAGCGTCGTGGGAAGTGAAAAAACACATGTAGAAGAATCGTTGCACTCTTTAAGATTTTATTCTAACATATATACTCATGCGTTCCAACCGAAAATAAAAACTATCAAACGTTAATGTGAAATGATAACAGAAATGCTACATATATCTATGTATTTATGTTTTCCCTTTCTGTAAAATTTTAAAACTACAACTAATTTTATGATGACCAGAGTATCCATAATATAAATAAATATTGGTAATAATATGACAATGTTCTCTAAAATTTGTATTAAATTAAAACACAATATTGATATATATATTTTTCTTCCATTGCAAGGCACATAACTCGTAAACTTTAATTTTCATAGTATCCTTGTGTTGGCCAGTTAGATATCGAGTTTTCGTGGCTACTTTGAGAATCTCTAAAAATATATAATTCTAATATTTGATTAAAATTGACAAGAAGTTAGTTGCCATCGTGCCAAGGATTAGTCTATCCATTTCTACGTGACAGTCCTCGTTGAGGATTTTACTGTATACACGTACAACATGGATAGATTGGAACGGAATGCTTAACATTTCGGTCCATGATTGGACTAGTTGGACCATTGACTGGTCCATCTTCTATAATCATAAGTTTTGTTTTTAATCAAAATTATATCAACAACTTAGGATGATAATATTTATTTTTTACTCGCTCCATTTCAAATTATAAGTCATTTCAAAAAATTTGAAGAGTCAAAGTATCTCAAGTTTGATCAAAATTATAGAGATAATTATAAATATTTATAACATAAAATAGGTATACTATGAAAATATAATTAATGAAGAATTTAACGATACTTAGTTGACATCATAAATATTATTACATTATCATATAAATTTAGCCAAACTTAAGATGTTTTAACTCTCCAAGATTCTTGAAATGACTTGTAATTTGAGATGGAGGGAGTATTCAAGAATAATCAAGAGTTAAAGACCCATAATACTATATTTAGAATTTATATTTATAAGAACAAATCGGAGGCATAAAATAAAAACAATAAAATAAAAACGAAAAAAGTCACAGAACCCAAACGTGGGAAAGCCAGAAGGGGCAAACGGTACAAACAAAAAACAAAAAGGACACGGACTTACCGACGGTAACGCTTTGCACAGGAAACACGGGCGGAGGAAACTTTCCGAGTGGGTGACTGAGCTGGGCAAAAAAATTTATGTACAAATTTGGACTCTTTAATAATAGGCTAACCCTGATACGTAGAAGAATAAGACTCATCATCGCTAGATATGAGCTGTGATTTATTCTGGCCCGTGCGATTCGCTAAAAAAAAAGTTAAAATATTGTTCCGGCTGATTTGTTGTGAGAGAAAAATATTGTTTCGGTTAAAAAAATAAGCTAAAAAGTGCGGATTATAAGAGAAACGAACAGGGCCTCTAACTCATACGAACATAGGTTCCAATTCTACTGCACTACTTCAGCAGTATTTTTCAACGAATCAATAATGTTTTTTTCTCAAAGCATTACGTATGGCGTGAATCAATATGTATTAGAACTGGATTCCTTATTCACCATCATTAGATTGAGTCCTAACTCATACCAGTATGGATCATGAGTTTATACGAGATAGAAAAAAAAACTTTCTAATGTCAACCAAGTAGCTAGGGGAAAAAGGACTGTACCCAGTGCAGAGAGCTCCTGCTCTGTGCGGGATTTGAGGAAGGGTGTCAGTGGCAAGCCTTATCCTCGTCTATGCAATGCAAGGAGACCGCGATTCGAACCCGGGACCTTCCGGTCACAGACGGTAAGACTCGACCGCTTGCACCAAGTAGCTGGGGGAAGTGAAAAAAATAGGTGGATATCAATGAGATGGGGATTTCTTATCAACGACATCAGCGATCTCACTTCGGGCGACGACAAAAAAAATGTGTTGACTATCAGCCTGTTCGTTTGACTGTGGCTTGTCGTAAATGATCGTAAATTTTCAGCCGGAACAGTATTTTTCTCTCACACAAACCAGCCAGCAGTACTTCTTCACGAACCAGCAACAAAATGAACCAGCCAACTGAACAGGCTGTATACAAAAACATCACATGACAGTGTTGCTGCAAACCTGTGTCAATTTGCATCTTTCGTTAAATATTATGTAAATCATATCAATGTGCCGCAGATTAATTACTTGCAGCGGGTAGTATGATTTTCAGCAGCAAACTTAACCTAATACTGTTAGCGATATACTACCACGCCACCAGTCCCATCTAAGCAAAGCAGTCAAGACACATATCTTGCATAGTCAACACGAAAAATACAGACCACCTTGATATATCTAGAGGTCGACAGTGAGACAATCTGCCATGCAAATTCAGTAGAAACTCCAGTCTTACTAACAATGGATATGAATATTTACCCCATAGCAATGGTTCTTGGCACCAAAGTGTTAGTTGATTAACTCTGGGATGTATTTTTCAGAAACAAGAAATCTGTTACTTTGAGATAAGTGTAGATCAATTAGAACTGTACGTCAATTGCTATGGCCTATAGGCAAAAGATAAAAAAAAAAAGGGCGTATCCAGTGCAAAGAGCTCCCGCTCTGTGCAGGATCTGAGGAAGGGTGTCAGTGGCAAGCTTTACTGAAAGGTTCTTGTGTGGTTGTAGTAATTGAGTGACAACCTAGGTGGACTAATTGTGTTTATGTGAGATACACATGTGATTAGTCCACAGGTATGTGTGTGAGCAACATATGCCATGAAGGTGAAAATAACGCGGAGATGTTCAAAGCTCACACATGTGATAATGAAGGAGCTCATTGCACATGAGACATGACATTGAGTCATGTGATCAAGGTGGAGAAGATCAAGACAAGACTTGGCTTGATGGACCGGTTGCAAGCGTGAAGGGCAAGTCGAATGCTTTGGAGCGATAGACCGTGTGGCGGTGAAGCTTAAGCAAGACTTGACACCGATGAACGAAGGCAATGTTGAAAAGCAAGTAGAGTCAAGATCGATGAACCAATACGGTCATGTGATGATATGAAGTGAATCATATCATTTGGTGATTTGTTGGTGCATGTGTTGCATCAACATTGAGAGGAGATAGAATGAAATATGCAAGGCAAAGGTATAACCTGGGCATTTTATTTCACCGGTCATAGGTGTGTAGAGAAGTTTATGACCGGATTTAGGATAGATGACCGTACTATCAAGAGGGGCAAACTTGTTTGCATATTGGTCATCTAGTGCTACTCGTGTGATCTAACTTTGCATCGTTGCTAAGATTGAGTGGCGTGGCAAGTTGAGCGGCTAATTCTTTGGAAAATGATTGTGAAAATGCTAACACACATACACATGGTGGTGTACACTTGATGGTGTTGGCACATTTACAAAGGAGATGAAGTTGGAGTTGATGTGGATCAACTCGGCGATGAAACAGAGGCGAGAAGGGTTCGAAACTTCACCGGCGGAGTGTTCGCCCGTAGATTGCGGACAGTCCGACGGTGCCACCAGCGCCCTGTATAGAAAAGACAGGGTTTCACAGAGTGCACCGGACGCTGGTCACACAGTGACCGGACGCTAGGGTCCTGCGTTCGGTCAGTGGCAGCAGAGAACGCGCAGGCGTCAGTCTTCGACCAGACGCTGGCTGGGTGCTTCCGGTCGCACTGGTGTGGCGGCGCATAAAGGAGACAGTGAGTGATCGGACGCTGGGCGAGTCCGGTCGGGGGTGACCGGACGCGTCCGATCACGAGTGGAACCTTACTAGAAGCGATCGGACGCTGGGGTCCTGCGTCCGGTCATACACTGTGCTGCGTCCGGTCGCAACTTAACCGTTGAGATCGGGCGCTCAGTATTTGAAGCCAGGGATGACGTAGTAGCCATCCGTTGACCGGACGCTGGCAGGGTGCGTCCGGTCGATCTGACCAGAGCATCCGATCACCCCGAGCTGTGTCCAGTGAAGAGGTAAAACGGCTCTATTTTCGTGTGGACTATAAATAGAAGGGGTCTCGGCCTTAGGCCAGTTGCTGAGCACACTAGAGCCTTGGTGGCTTGTGTGGTAGTGTTTCGAAGCCCTCTAACTCATTTGAGTTTGATAGTGTTCATCCGATCGAGTGAGTGAGCAATTCTAGTGTGATTGCATCGAGTGGCACTAGGTGATCGAGTTGTAAGGCGGTGACGCTTGTTACTCTTGGAGGTTGCCACATCCTAGACGGCTTGGTGGTGGTCTCCGTCGAAGCCTGGAAGAAGCTTGTACGGTGCTCCGGAGAAGATCTTTGTGAGGAGTATTGTGCTCGCCCCGCGGGAGCCGCGAAGAGCAACTCTAGTAGAGCGTGTCATTGAGCTACCATCACTTTCGGAGTAGGTTCTTGCGGTGCCCGACGTGTGGGCTTGACGGGTGATGCCAATTAGCCGTCGAACCACCAAGTGAGCGGTCGACACAACGGGGACTAGCGTGTTGGTAAGCGCGTGAATCTCGGGATAAAAATCACCATGTCAACTTTGTTCTTTCCGTTGGTTTGCAATCTCTTTACACAAGCTTGTGATTACTTTCATATACATTGTGCTTGTGTAGTTGCTCTTATAATTCGTTTGCTTATGTAGCATAGAAGTAGCTCCCTTGCGTGGCTAATTTGGTTTGTTTAACCTTGTGAGTCATATTGCTTAGTTTGTGTATCTAAGAATTTGCGCTCTCTAATTTGGTATTGGTTGTCTTGTTATTGAGCATTGATAGTGAGCTTAAGTGGCTTTGTGCTTTTGCTACTAGCATGTGTAGGAGCTCCCTTGTTGCTCGAAGTAATAGTGGCATATGTTTGTGTGATCTTGCTTCTAGAATTGGTTAGATGAGCTCTAACTAGTCCGGCACCTTTGTTGCTTAATTAGTATATTTGAAAGGTGCTAGAGAATATAGATAGAGGGGTGTAGTTCTAATTCCGCACTTGTTTCGATTAGTCGATGCGATTAATTTTAGAAAGGACTATTCATCCCCTCTAGTCCGCCATCTCGACCTTTCACTTATCATCGCCTGTGCAATGCGAGGAGACCACGACTCGAACCCGGGACCTTTCAATCACGCGATAAGACTCTACTGCTTACACCAGGCCCGCCCTTCCTATAGGCAAAAAATCAACTGGTCATAAAAAAAACTAAGTAATGCAGTACTGCTCCTTCATCTCTTAAGCCCTAAAAAATAAAGGACACTACCAAGTAAAGTTAACAAGTTCATAACTCCAATGAGAATAAACAAAAGATAATATATAGCTCATAATTTCAGAAACCATCTGTCAAAAGTTTCCTGGACATCTCCGCTGAAAGTAAACATAAGACAACAATGTACGGCTATAACCAGATTTCATAAACAATTTGCAGGACATCACCTGGAAACCAGCAACTGATCCGATCCCAGTAACAGTTTATTATCTTTCTCGCTTTGATCTCAAAATTTTAACAATTTTCCCACTTACATCAAAATCTGATAGAGTGGTCTGAAACAATAAAAGACCAGCTCAAAATGATTGCCACACCAGTGTTTATTTGTCTAATAGTGGGATTCTACATTAAAAAAAATCCTAGGACCCTGACTATCGTAAAAGAGTATGTCTTACACACAACTATATGTTTTATACAGTTTCAACACATAAATTTTTTTCACCATAAAATTAAGATCCAACAGACTCCACACTCCTTCCTCCCAACTCCAGCCTTGTTCTACCTTCAGATAATCACAAATCACAAGATTATATATATATATATATATATATCACCAGAAAATGGAATGACAAATCACGGAGGAGGAGAGGCCTACCGCTGGCTCGGTAAAAAAAATCGCTTGTCGTCGCCGTAGTGAGGGGGAGGAGAACAGTGCAGGCAGGCAGGCGACCAAGAAAAGCGGCGCACAGGGGTAGGGGCGACCCCACCTCGAAAGTGCATAGGATGCCCTGTAGAAAAAATCTGTGTTTTTTCTCGCTAAAACACGTACTCCCTCCGTCCGAGAATAAACGTACGTTTCCGGTTCAAAAAATTTCCCATAATAAAAGGTCATTATGAACTATCACATCACATTGTATCAGCAACAGCTAAGACCAAGGCAGTAAAAAATTAATTCATGTCAACATAAAAAAGAAAAAAAAACAATGGAAACGGCAGCTCCTCGTCTCGATCTCCCCGGAGGCTCTCCAGAAGCTCCTCGTCTCGTGCCTGTCTCCAGTCTCTAGGGGCTGCCCAGCAGGCCAGCACGCAGGGCGAGGCAGGAGAGCAGCAGCTGCAGCCCCGCTGCATCGATGGACTAATGTTCACCGAGCAAATATTGTAGGGGCATTTTTGTCATTTTAGCTTCATCTTGGTATTCGTGCCTAAACCTAGATAGGCAAATATTATTGGACGGAGGGAGTATGTGTCTGATAAAAAAAAATACTACGGCGCTGATTGTCCATTCTTGCTTAAAATCTTATCTCAGACAACATCAGCAGGTAACAAGACAAAGCTCAAGCAATAGTAGATGATCAAACAATTTAACATACTCCAGCATGAGTTTAAAGCGAAGACATACAGCATCCAGGAACATATATCATACCACATGCCACTCCTCATCACTCATGGTCAGAAATTGTCATAAGTTTCCACAAGCATATATCAAGTATAGCACAAAGAAATACTAATGGAACAACTGAACGAGTTACCAGTGAAGCATATTAACGTATCATCACTGCATGCGAATGAAGATACAACCCATATTGAAAGTCTGACACCACAAACTCATAGTACTCGAATACTTGGCAATAAACTCAGCCATAGGGTAAAATCTCGATAAATTTGCTGATCTTCGCAGAAGCCGGTGCATCAATCGAAACCAGCATAAGCGAGTAGATCTGTGGGTACACACGAAGAGGAACAGGGCAAGCAATACGCTACTACGACAAGACTAGATCCAGACAATTTCCAGCTTAATACGAACTTGTCGAGCCCAAGAACCCTACCAGATCTTGCCGTCCGCCGCCTCAAACCCCAGATCCGGGTCCGCCAAGGAATGACAGCAGCCCTTGGGCCGCGCTGTTGCCGGGGGCCGCGTTGGGCTCGTCGAGGAAGAGGTCCTCGGGCACCCGGAACGCGCCGTGCGCCGCGACGAGGGCCCCGCCGACGAGCATCCCGGAGATGATGAGCGACGCGACGGAGGTGAAGAAGAGCAGGACGAAGGACGCGCCGACGAGCCCCAGCAGCGTCTCGCGGTCGGAGAAGGTCCGGCCGAAGAGGACGACGGGCTGGTCGGAGGCGCGGAAGAGGTAGAGGAAGCACCAGGCGGCGAGGAGGCCCAGGAGGATGAGGAGCGAGAAGGGGTGCGCCAGGAGCGAGGCCCCCAGCGCGAAGGCGACCACGGCGGCGTAGTTGACGCGGAAGTAGGCGAGGTTGCGGCGCAGGCGGGAGGTGGCGTCGGAGAGGGAGTCCGGCTTCGAGAACGCCGAGCGGTCGAGGAGCTCTCCCCACGGACGGCGATCGGACAGCGAGCGCCGCGCCGAGTCGGAGAGCCGGCTCAGGAAGAGCCGGAGAGCCGGCGTAGCGATCGGCGCATCGGAGCCTCCGGCGGCGGCCGGGGACGATCCGGGGGCGGGGTTGGTCACCGGTAGGAGGGGCGGCGGCGTCGGTGCGGAGGCCATGGCGACGGGTATTCAGAAGGAAGCGCGTGCTACGGGAGATGGGGAATTGGGGGAAACCTCGCTGCTGTCGCTGGTGGCTGGCTGGTGCTGTGTTAGTTTTGCGGTTTTGCCTTCAGGTAAAGACTTGCCTGCCTGTTTCCGTAAGTTGCCTGGTTGGGCTGTCACACTGGACGGCGTAATACCTGCTTGCTTGGTGCTGTGCCTATGTCAGTGGGCCAATGTCAGAATGTCTAACGCGGGTGCACATGTCAGTCATGGAAACTGCGAAGCTGGGCCTGTTTAGACGCCGAAATTTTTGGCAAAATGGCACTGTAGTAGTTTTCGTTGTTATTTGACAATTAGTGTCTAATCATAGTCTAATTAGGTTTAAAAGATTCGTCTCGTGGATTTCATCTAAACTGTGTAATTAGTTTTATTTTTTATTTATATTTAATACTTCATGCATGCGTCTAAAGATTCGATGTGACGGAGAATCTCGAAAAATTTAGCATTTTGGGAGGGAACCGTATTTTGTAGTAAGTATGTGTTTGGTCGGCTGAAGAGTGGGACATTGGACCCGAGTTTCTTTGCCTATCATTAACGTCTTCTGGTGGTGTGGACACGATGTCGGGTCAGGTTGACACTCTTTGAGATGGGCTAATTGTAGTATCGGCCCAGTTGGCCCAGTTCGTGTTTTCCGTTGGGAATGTGTGACGTTATGTCTAGAGAAATATGAAACTTCATATAGCGCCTAGGATCCGCGCACGGACAGAGCTTTGGCTACTGTTCGACTACTGTTGGCCAATCTTGTGCCGCCACGTGGTCAATCTTGTGCCGCCACGTGGATTCGTGCGTGTCCACGCATGGATTTGGCCTCTCCGGATTGCTTCGTCTGTTTCCGTAATTAAAAAAAGAACCTCGCTGCCTCCGTTAGCTCCGCGCTTTCTCTGGCGCCTTCTCTCCCCATGCTCCTGCTACAGCGCTTCCTCTCCCCTAGCGGCGGAACCCCTCGAGCGACATCGCGCCTCGCTGCCTCCGTCAGTCCGTCCGCACTTTCTGCGCCGCCTCCTCTCCCCCAGGCCCCAGTTGCGACGCATCCTCCCCAGCGGCAACGGACGCGGATGCCGCCTCCTTTGTGGATCGCTTCAGCGCCTCTTTGAAAGGTCCTTATTGGTTTTGGTAATTGAGTGACAACCTAGGTGGACTAATTGTGTTTATGTGAGATACACAGGTGATTAGTCCACAGGTATATGTGTATGAGCAACATATGCCATGGAGGTGAAAATGGCTTGGAGATATTGCAAAGCTCACACATGTGATGATGAAGGAGCTTATTGCACATGAGACATGACATTGAGTCATGTGATCAAGGTGGAGAAGATCAAGACAAGACTTGGCTTGATGGACCGGTTGCAAGCGTGAAGGGCAAGTCAAAGGCTTTGAAGTGATGGACCGCGTGGCGGTGAAGCTTGAGCAAGACTTGGCGCCGATGGACGATAGCAACGGTGAATAGCAAGTAGAGTCAAGATCGATGAACCAATATGATCATGTGATGATATGAAGTGGATCATATCATTGTTGATCGTGTTGGTGCATGTGTTGCATCGATATTGAAGGAGATGGAATGGAATGCGCAAGGCAAAGGTATAACCTAGGGCATTTCATTTCACCGGTCATAGGTGTGTAGAGAAGTTTATGACCGGGTTTAGGATAGATGGCCGTACTATCAAGAGGGGCAAACTTGTTTGCATATCGGTCATCTAGTGCCACTCGAGTGATCTAACTTTGCATTGTCGCTAGGATCGAGTGGCGTGGCAAGTTGAGTGGCTAACATCCTTTGAGAAATGATTGTGAAAATGCTAACACACATACACATGGTGGTGTACACTTGGTGGTGTTGGCACATTTACAAAGGGGGTGATGTTTGCAGGGGTGAGATAGGTTTGGGTCCCTCTCGAATGCCTATTTTCTATTACGCCGGATGCATGTTCTTGTGGTTAGCACATTGGAGCAAGGGTGATGAAGTTAGAAGTGAAAACGAGTTAGTCGCGAAGATGCTGGCATCGGTCAACTGACCGGACGCTGGATCTGAATGCACCCGACGGCGGCGGGCAGCTGCAGTCCGGTCAGTCGACGACGATGACGACGCAGGCTGGAGTGTGACCGACTGTGGCTGCTGCGTCCGATCAAAATGTGACCGACGCGCGTCCGTCGAGGTCTCAGACTCTATCTTGAAATGACCGGATGCTAGGGGTTCAGCGTCCGGTCGGTTGAAAAACTAACTTGCGTCCGGTGAAGTCAAGTGACCGTTGGAATTAGGACACGTGGTCGTCTGCAGCGACCGAGACGCCGAGGTCTAGCGTCCGGTCAACACGACCGGAGAGCGTCCGGTCGGCCGGCCCGATCGTTGCCAGTGAAAGGGTAACGGCTAGTTTAGCCCTTGGGGCTATAAATAGAAGTGGCCCTCGGCCATGGTAGGTGATCTTGAGCACCTCAAGGGACTTAGTGTCCATGCTTGTGAGTGCTTGGGAGCCCTCCATCACACATATACTTGATAGTGATCATTCGATTGTGTGAGTGAGCGATTCTAGTGCGATTGCATCGTGAGATTGCATCGAGTGGCACTAGGTGGTCGTGTTGCAAGCCGGTGGTGCTTGTTACTCTTGGAGGTTGCCACCTCCTAGACGCAACTTGGTGGTGGTCTCCGTCGAAGCCCGCAAGAAGCTTGTGCGGCGCGCTCCGGAGAAGTGCTTGTGAGGGTACTTGTGCTCGCCCAGCAGAGTCGCGAAGAACAACTTTAGTAAAGCGTGTCATTGAGCTATCCTCACTCAAAGGGTAGGTTCTTGCGGTTGCCCGGCGTGCGGGCTTAGCGGGTGATGCTAATTAGCCGCCCGAACCACCAAGTGGCCCATCGACACAACGGGGACTAGCATGTTGGCAAACACGTGAACCTCGGGAGAAAAATCATCGTGTCAACCTTGTTCTTCCCGTTGGTTTGCATCCCCATTACACAAGCTTGCAATTACTTTTATACATATTAAGCTTTTGTAGTTGCTCTTGTAATTAGATAGCTTGTGTAGCTTGCTAATTATCTTCTTGCTTGTGTAGCATAGAAGTAGCTCCCTTGCGTGGCTAATTTGGTTTTAGTAACCTTGTTAGTCATATTGCTTAGTTTGTGTAGCTAAGTATTTGCGCTCTCTAATTAGGCATTGGTTGCCTTGTTATTGAGCTTTGCTAGTGAGCTTAGTTGGCTTTGTGCTTTTGCTTACTAGCATGTGTAGGAGCTTCCTTGTTGCTTAAAGTACTAGTGGTATAGGTTTGTGTGACCTTGCTCCTAGAATTATTTAGGAGAGCTCTAGCTAGCCCGGCACCTTAGTTGCATAATTAGTATCTTTACAAGGTGCTAGTGAACATATATAGAAGGGTGTAGTCTTGGCTAGACCGATTGTTTTTATTCCGCATTTATATCGGTTAGTCGACACGATTAATTTTAGAAAAGACTATTCACCCCCCTCTAGTCCGCCATCTCGACCCTTCACTCTTCCTCTTCCCCGGCGGCGGCCAGCCGTACAATTGTGCGTGGAACCAGGACAGCGAGGCAGCGACGGCAGCGTTGCGTTGGAGCTCCACGACGGGTCAGGTATGTTGTCTTCTCCCCTTCGCCTTCGATCCGTGCCGGCATCCCTTCCTCTCTCTCTCTCTGTCCCCATTCCCCTCCAAGATCTGTGAGGCGGTACGGTGAGAGCAACGGCCGGAGCTCCAGCTCGCCCTCGCCTTTGGCGCCTCTGCCGAACTCCCCTTCCATCTGTGCCCACGACGGCTCCCCTTCCGCTCCCTGTCCCTCCTAGATCTGCGAGCTAGGATAGCAAGAGCGACGCCTAGACACGGAGCCGCCACAGCAATTGCCAAACCCGGTAGCGAACTTGGAACAGTGAGCCGCACCAGCTGCCTTTCTCCTTCTCCTCCTCCTTGACCCCTTAGCGCGGCGATGATGACCTCCTTTGTACCGATTTGGCACTGCTCCACCACAGTGAGCCGCTCCTAGCCAATCGGCGTCTCCCTCGCTCTGATCTTAGCAGTTCGCGAACTCCACTGCTGGTGGCGCTCTCCGATACAGTGTCGTGCCGCGAACCGTGGGTAGCTTTACTTAGCCGCAAAGACTTCACCAGCTTCATTAACCTCTCAACTACTCTGACCTCCTCTCTTTTCTTTTCTAATTTCATTCTTATTTCTCTGTTTTGATTTAAATCTAGGAGTAATAAGAGTTACCATATTTCTCTGTTTTGATTTGATTTTCCTCCAAAATCCACATTGATTTGGTTCGAATACTAGGGTTTTCATCTTCATGACTGCTGCTGCACTCCGTTGATCCGTGGCACCAATTGATGGTTCCCTCACAGGTAAGTGCTACGCTTTATTTTGTTCTATTAGTCCAGTTTATGGTGGTTTACTAAAATTGGGGTTACATGATTCGAATTCAAGTTTCAAATAGCTTCATTCATGTGTATGTATATTTTGTAGGATGCACTATCATCGATGTATGTTTATCGCACTTTGCCATTCAATTAATTTTTCTCTTGCTCTAAATAAGTTATTTTGGTGGGATAACGTTGTGAGCAATGGGTGTACCTACTTAGTCTTGATACAAATTTGTCCTTTGCTCATGTAAGTATGTTCTCTTGATGTCTCATTGTTGATACCAATACGTACCCATGATTTGTATTGCTTGGTGATGATGGCATAATAAAATTTTATCTCTGTGAGGAAAACCCACTTAAATATGTTCTTATCATCAAGTGCATCCTGCTCTTCCACGATTCATGTCGTTGATAGTTATAGGAATTCAAGTAGTAAAGGGAAGACTCCGCATGTGTATCCTGCTCCTCCGGACAACTTTGTTAAACTTGCTCGTAAGCGATCGTAAATTTTCAATAAAGAACGGTGTTTTCTCTCACACCAAACCAGCCAGCAGTAAATAATCCACGATACGATACGGCCTCCCGAACAGGCTGTCTATTCTT